CATGAGTGACACAAAGAAGGGGAATAGGGAATGATTGTTCCTGGTCTCTTCAATAGAGGAGGTGGGGACATCAGATGATAGTAATGGGAGAGAAGTAAAGAAGCAGTGGTGATTTTTTTAAAGAACACATGGTTGATCTATGGACCTTCTTGCCACAGGACATTGCAGTTGCTGAAAGTTTATACACATTCAAGGGACAATGCCCAAGCTCATGGAAGAGAAATCCATTGTGTGTTACTAAAACCAGTGAAATCATATCTGGCTTAGGAAATCCCTGAGCTCCAAATGATGAAGCTGGGTACGTGAATACTTGGGGGAAATGTCACATATAATTATACCATTCCTGTACTCTTCCCCAGCCATCTGCTTGTGGTCGCTGTTGGATTCAGGATAGCTGTGCACTGTGTTCCACTGCACACTATGGTTGTGGCCTCGTACCCCAGCACAATGTCCCTTTAGAAGCGAGAGAAGGCTATTTGGATTGTCCTCCCGAATGGACCTCACATAGATTGTAATGAGGAGTTTCTCTCTGTGTCTCATCTGAAAGGCACCATGGAAAAATAAGCTTTGAAGGAGGCTGAGTGGTTTTTCTCCAGACTTTCACAGCTATACTCTGGCAAACAAGAAAATAGTATTCCCTTTTTTTCTAGAATTGCCTATAGATGCACATGGTCTTTGAGAGTTTTCCACTGGAGAATGGACAAGGCCTGGAAAATCAAAGGCAGGGAAGACCTTAACAGAGTAACTCATTTTGTGCCAGCCCTTACGGTCTGACTCTTCGCCTCCCTTGCCCACACCTTCCTGCAGTTCTGCTTGATGTCGGTAGAGCAGCCCTTCCATTAGTGGGAGGAGATGGCTTTTGCGGTGCATCGGTGCTCTGCAGTCCAGAATTGGAGTAACACTCTGAGACATGACATTTCTTCATGCCAAACTATTCTTCTTGGTGCCAACCCAGATGAGCTCTGTCTTGAAAGCCTAAGCAGCTGGGAGGTATTATAAAAGAGAGAGAGAGTACTAATGACATCACTTCCAATCAAGGTGAAAGTTACTTAGACTGTCCTTGATCATTCAAATTACATCTCAGTAAATATCAGACAAACCTGCCTGCTGTGGTCATGTTGCTGTATTGTGGGACCTCAGCAAACTGGTTAGTATAGTAGAGTAGTATAGGTAGTATTTACCTGCGTGTTGTCCAATGTAAAGCTCCATCTATACCTTTCTCACTGTTATCTCAGCCCCATGGCTTGTTAGGGGATGCATTTGCTATACCTAATTTTAAGGTCTTCTGTTTGATCTTTCTTCCTCACCACAGAAGAGTGAGAAATACCAATGTCATGCTAAACCTTTCTATTTCTCTTTAAGCCTTGTGTTTTTTATGGTTCACATGGAGTCATCTCTTTATACTCTGGTAAAGGGCAGTGGCGTTCACGTAGAAGAAGTTAGGCTGAATTTTGGTAGCTGAAATCTGCTACCAAGGCAGTTGCTTCTGCTTCTGCCTTTACCCGACACAAGTAAAACCCAACTACTTGGAGACTGACCCTGTGCGCTGCGGAGGGCTATTTCCTGGCATTAATGATCCTCTGTGCCCCTCTTCCTCTGGCAATTACTGACCTAATTTTTCCCAGAGGCAGTCTCTGATGTTAAGAAGACAGTGGTTTATTTTAAATTTGAGATTTATTGAATTTCAGAGAACATGCACTTTGTTTGCTTTTCATGCATTGCTCTGCGTAGTGCTGCATGGATTCTGTAATGCTAAAGTAATGGAGAGTTAAGTCTTTCTTTGGTGTATTTTGAAACCCCTCATTTCAGAGTGCTGAAGGCAATGACTAAGGTGTCTATTCCTTAAAGCCATGTTGTACTGGAGAAATATATGACTCTGATCCCCTATACGTGAATCTATTTGTAAAGTCTTATTCCAGCTTCATGAATAAAGTCCTTTCTTTACCCCAGCCTCATGGTGAAAATACGGTAAAAGACATTTATCTGATATTGTGGAATGTGAGTATGACATGGGGCAGAATAGAAATCAGAATTTCTGGATATTCTGTCTACCTATGTGAATTGGAGGGAAATCAAAGCCTGCCAGTGTCTGTGCTTTCCTATCTGTAAAACAGGGATATGGATACATTCCTATCTTATGGGAGAGCTGTGAGTCCCAAGTTAATTACAAAGTCTGTGACAAATTTTAGAAATTCAATTGTGAGGTAGTGTGTAAGCATATAATATTAATGTTTTATAATCTCCCTAAACTGTCTCTGTGGATATCTTTAGTGAGAGGGATATAGTGATATCAAAAGAAATCTTTTTTCACCCCAACCATTTTCTTTAGAACCCAAAGTGAAAGCTGTTTCCACCAACTGCCATCTCTGCAACCATCTGGAAAATCACATTTTCTGAAGCTTTCCTTCTCTTTATCAGCTGTAACTAAAGCTATAAAATGGGAATATGTCCCTGGTTTAATTAACACCCCTGTAGTTCAAAAGCTGATCTTAGTAATGAGAGGCAATTATAGCCTTTATTGAGGGACAGTCAGGTGGAACAAACTCAGCATCAATCTATTGAAAACACTTCCCTTTCCAGGTAATTTGGAAACTGCTTTTTATGATGAACAGGCTACCTGGCCCAATACAACAGGTGAATCTCTTTGTTTTGTAACCTGAAAAGAACTTCCTACTTTGATTTATGTGCTTCTTCTGTAAACTGGTTTTTGCATCCCATCCATCTGCCAACAACTAGCAACTGAGCTAAGGAAATACCTGTTGCTTTTCAGAAGGCGTTCTTGCTGGTTTTCTCATTTTATTTTCTTGTCCATTGTTGCTTTTCATTTTGAAGGTTGCCTGGTGTTCATATTTTTGTTCTAGCAAAACTGCAGACTCTGTGGTGCACCCACATCCTGAGGGCTCTCCAGAGTTCTGGTCTCTGCACCTCAAAAATGATGTGGTAGAGCTAGAGAAGGTCCAGAGAAGGACGTTGAAATGATCAAGGGAATGTAATTTCTGCTGTATGAGCTAAAAAGGCTGTGGCTCCAGTTCGGACAGGAGACACCAGGGCAGAGGTAAAGCTGAGTTTAGCTGAAGTCATGCAGGTGATGGATAAGGTAGATGTAGAACTTTAATACTAGAGCTAATGGGCTCTAGGTGAAACAAAGAGATCTGCTTGAAATTATGAAGTACTTTTTTACACAGCAGATAGTGAACTTCTGGAATCTGTTGTGACAGGAGGTTGGGGCAGTGGGCAGTGTCAGCAGGTTAAAAAAAATTAGACAAATTTAGAGTAGCAGGTCCATAAACTGAGTCTAAAGGTGGTGGGCAGGGCTGAGGCAGTGCAACAGGAATGGTCTGCAGAGAATGGCCATGCTCTTCTGGTCTGCCTCAGTAGTATCTCAGGTGCTCTCTGGCTTCCAGCTTCTGATCTGTAGGAGTGTGTGTCTGCTGTATGCCGTGTGTTTCATCTACCATGCCTCTATGGATAACCTGATGTCTCAGGGGTCTCAAATGATGCTAGATGCCTCTTTCTGGAAAGCTGATTTAAACCCTCAGTGTCTACAATGCAGGCAGCTACGTTGGAGCTAGTCACTGAAGGTGGAGCTCTACTCATGATTAAGACACCTGCATTCGGCTGTTTGCATGTAGTTGTCTACCTGTGCAGTAAGTGTCTAAATTCTTCTGCAGTCAATAGACATCTGGTCAGTCTAATGGGGACCTAATGAATACAGTCAATGGAACAGTCAGTACTGTCATTTCATCTCGCCATAAGGTAGACTTGGAATGGTCAGTTAAATAACTCACTACTGGCTGTTTTCATTAAATCTTTGTTGACTATGATGGGAGCTTGGACACCTAGCACACATGTAGATACCAAAATTTAGGTATATTAATCTTGAACTGAGTTCTGTCCCGAGATTTCTATTGTAATGACTGTAGAGAAATAGGTGTCTCCTCAGAATAACTCATTGACCTGTTTTAGACACCTAGGTGTAGATGAGAGAAACTGCACTTCGGAAGTGCACATTTCTATTCATTGACTTTAAGGGGAGTCTAGATAGTGGTACCCACGTGGTCGATGCACACCATGGCCAGGTGAGTCCCAGCCATCCCATTTTGGAGACTTTGGTACTGTCACTTAGGGTCTTAGCTATAAGAAATGTAGATTTTTAAAACAGTGTGATGTGGAAAAGTGAAATTATAATTTCAAAACAGACCCCCCACACTTATGGTTTGATTTAGAATAAAGGTTTAGCCATGATTTTACTGTCTATAAACTATGCTGTGAAACATGCTACATCCTCTGTCCTGGATTACTTTAATATCCTGACAAAATTGCCTTTGCCAGACTAGCTGTAAAAGCTGTAAAACTATAAAACAAGCTGGTAAGTTGTTTATTCTTCAATAATTAAAGATAGAGCAGGCATTAAACCCCTAAAGTCCTGTGGTGTTGCAGCAGTGAGTGGCTTTCATAAGGTGTCTAGGAGAAATGTTTGTTCAGTATGGAAGAGTTTGGAAAGCAATTTCTTTGGTCAGTGGGTCTGTGGATGTTGTTAACTCCATGCTGCCAACAAACACAGAATTTGGATGCCATCAGTGTACTCTGGTTTTGGGACAGGGCAACACCAATTACTCTCAAAAATAGTGTGGACAAATCAACCTATTTCCAAAGTTTCCACTATTGCATGTGATACAGGATGGATGTGAAATTTCTGTAGCGAATGAACGTGATATAATCTTGTTTAGGAGACTGCACAGTTATTTGAGGTAGGATGGATTGCTCGTTTTTTCATCTTTCCCACTCCTGTGTGTACAACTTTGTTGTTCTGTGTCTTATTTGCTTCAGATACAGGACGTGGGTGAGGAGATAGGAAGATTGTGTGACTGCAATGTTCCTGTAGCTTTGGATCTGGCTGCGGCATGAGAGTCTCTGTGATTCACGTGGCTTGCATGAAGGGGGAGCTGTGGTCATCACCTGCCTTGCTGACTGTCCTGTCTTTTCATTCCCCCTCCCAGGTTATGGACATGCTGCCCCAGGGACGGATGCGGGGAAGGCCTTTTGCATGTTCTATGCGGTCCTGGGGATCCCACTGACACTCGTCATGTTCCAGAGCTTGGGCGAGCGCATGAACACCTTCGTCAAGTACCTCTTGAAACGCATCAAAAAGTGCTGTGGGATGAGGAGCACCGAGGTCTCCATGGAAAACATGGTCACTGTGGGTTTCTTCTCCTGCATGGGAACACTCTGCATTGGAGCAGCAGCCTTTTCCCAATACGAGGAATGGAGCTTTTTCCATGCTTACTATTACTGCTTTATAACATTGACTACGATAGGGTTTGGAGACTATGTGGCCCTGCAGACCAAAGGGGCCCTTCAAAAGAAGCCTCTCTACGTGGCTTTTAGCTTTATGTACATTCTAGTGGGGTTGACAGTCATTGGGGCATTTCTAAATCTGGTTGTTCTCAGGTTCTTAACCATGAACAGCGAGGACGAGAGGCGGGATGCCGAGGAACGGGCATCCCTGGCAGGGAACCGCAACAGCATGATTATCCACATCCAAGAGGACTCCCAGCATGGTCGGCCACGGTACAAGGCCGAAGTAACAGACCTTCAGTCAGTTTGTTCTTGCATGTGTTACAGGTCCCACGAGTACACCAGCCGGGTGGTGTCCCACCAAAATTCGTTCAGCTCAAAGCTGAACCCCCAGTACTTTCACTCCATCTCTTACAAGATAGAGGAGATCTCGCCAAGCACATTAAAAAACAGCCTTCTCCCATCTCCTGTCAGCTCCATCTCACCTGGGTTGCACAGCTTTACAGATAACCACAGGCTGATGAAAAGGCGAAAGTCCATTTAAAGGGATTTGTCTTCTTTTTGCTTTCCTTGTTTTCCCCAGTTCTTCTCCGTTGTTTTGGTATTTTTGTTCCTTGAGTGAGACGGAGCGAGGCCAAAGGGAGTAGAGAAAGCTAGTCCTCCTCTGAGACTCAGCTCTTGAGCATGAAGCATGGATTATTACTGTTCCAGCAAAGTATGCCTTACATTACCCCCTCGGTGGATGTCAGAGGATTCAAGGTGACGTGAAGTGGGTACCAAATCCAAAGTTGCACACACAGCTGGGAGCCTTCATGTGCCACTGGCACTCCTGACCTAATAAACTATTTTCCTCACGAGCAGGTTGCAGCGTGCGTGCGTGTCGGGTGTGTGTGCGTGTGTGTGTGCGCGCGTGCAATTCCACAACTAGTGCCATGTGACAAAAATTAAAGCATCAGGTATTATTTTTTTTTTTCCCTTGAAGCAATTGTGTTCCAGCCTGCTTTTAACTTTTAGATTGCTTCCAAAAAGAATGGGGAGGGTGGGAGGGGAGCCAATTTGTTTTGTTTTTTTGCCAAGACAAGCATGCGCCATAAGCAGTCAGTATACCAGGTGTATCATGGTAAATTTTTTAATGCTAGATTTTAGATTGTATTAACATTAAAAAAAGGCAGGAAAAGATGGATCATTTTAGCTTGCCAGTTCAAAATTAAAAAAAAATAAAATAAAATAAAGCATGCACTTTGTAAAACTGGTATGCATAATAAAAACACAAGAAAAACTAGCAATGGAGTTAATAATCAAAAGCAAATAATCCTATTGATTTAACTATATTTACTTTTATCATTTTCAACTGTTCCAACAATTTGCAAGTGGAATTTTTAAGAGAAATTGGGACAATTGTTGGAACTAAAGAGTGTATTTTGTTATTTTTATTTTATTTATAAAATTATTATTATTATTATTATTATTATTATTATTATTATTATTATTATTATTTTGTGCAGCAATTACCTGCATGAATAGGAATTATATTTTTTGGAATGCTTGGATTAGGATGGGTATAAATAGGTGGATGTATATTTTTTCTTATATAATAGTGACAGGGCATTCCTTGTTTTAAATAAAAAAATAAAGATGATTGTCTCTAAATGCTTTTGATTTGTAAATAATGGAAAGCCTTTGTTGGTCTCAGGAAGAATTCAAGGGACAGTATCTTGTGTTTGGCTCACTGGGAACTTGTGAGATTAGATGTGATATTGCTTTTTTGCTAGGCGGAAAGGCAAAATGCACTTAGCAGTAATGGGCAAAAGCAGTTTTACTCCAGTGATTGGAGGGTAACGCTGGGAGTGATTGCATTGGCAAGTTGTAGTGGAGGATGTTGAGACCACGTCATAGAGTTGTTCCTTGGAGATTGTCCATCTCTTGGTTGTTCATCTGGACCAAACGGACTTTACAGAACCGAATTAGAGGCCTAATCCAGCTCCCTTTTAAGACAACAGGAATTTGCAATGATTACATGGGATTTAGCGCTTTGGGAGATTTATCTTTGGTTTGACAGGGGTAGGACTGGGAGTTTTATAAACCTGCACCTTTGTCTCTGATTTAATCCTATCTTTTAAATAACCTTCTGTGTTAAGTCGCCATACAAAACCCATCTTTTTTTGGCACTAATCACCTCCTGCTGATTCAACCATTTTGTGCTCTCAGTGTAAAAGCAATAATCCTTTTTTTTTTTCTTCTTAAACTAGATGGTGTGTTTTTGTACAAGCCCCAGCTCTGAGCTCTGTGTGCTGATGGATGTTGATATCCTTTCAAAGAGGCATCTATAAGGAGCATTAATAGGGAGAAATAAGGAATGTCATTCCTCCTCTGTTCTCTTCTCCCTGGCTTTAAATTATTAGCTATATCCAATATGTTCATGTTCTCCTAATTTCCATATCTGTGTTTCAACAAGTAAATGAAAAGCAAGTATCCACGACTTTGGCTCCCCTATGCAGCTTCCTCTGGCATTATAAATTGCTGTGGCATGAAAACCTCCATTAAGATTAGTGAAGAAATAACTTAGGATTCTTAATGAGGATGGATGAGGACGGACTTTTTCTGCCTAACGTGTGGGGATCACATCCTTCAGCACAGTAGGAGAGCATGCTGGGTGCATTAATGCTGTGCAGCTGGTACCACGTCCTAAGGCAAATGCTCATGGCAGAAGTATTGAAGCAAGCATACCTAGAAAAACAGTTTCAGGATGTGTTAAACCGCCTCAGTGATTGCCACCTAGAAGCTGGTTTCCTTGAGGGTGTCCCGTAGGGTTCACTGTGCTGTCCAAATTCACTTTTGTAGTCTTTGCTTGTGGCATCCCAGAAGTGCAAATAGATGTAGGTTTCTTTTGCTGCTAAGGAGATAAGAAAAAGAATGTCTGGAATATACACATCTGTATCATGTACGACTGCTGGATGTATTTGACACTGGAGAAAAGGAGGAAAAGTTTGGGATTTTGCAGAACTCGAGTGAAATTCTGCCTAGCAAAGGAGAACTTTTGTAACAGGACTTTTAGCAAAAAATTTAAACAGTTTTGGAAAAAAGGTTACATCATATAAAAATTGGTTAGCTTTTTCCTTTTTTTTCCTTTCAGAAAAGAGGAAAATTCTATTTCTGCTGCATATAAAAATAATCTTTAAATGTCCTATAAATCATGTTGAACTCCAGAATTTCAAAGCTGTTACATGCTCTAGCTGATTTGTTACTAAATCTTCCCTCTGGAACCATAAATGGAGAGTAAATTTTAATACACGGGGTATTTAACCAGGGGAGCAACTTACCTCAGCGTGTCATGGGTTATCGGCCACTTAGAGCCTTTGCATTAAAACTCAGTGGCTTTATAAAAGCTCTGCTTTAGCTTAGTCGAAGTTTATGGATGCGGCTGAAGGAATCTATGTATGTTGGTATGAAGGAGCCAGAGTCCGTAGTGATACTTTCAAGTCTAAAAGCTGTAATGACTGTGTATGTGGGAAAGTGTTTTGCTAAAATGTATCTGCATTCCTTAGGATTTAAAAATATTTATTTTTATTAATTTAAATATTACAAATATTTTTTTTTTCTGCCTGAAGAACCCACAATTCTGTCCATTTTATATTTTTGTTACACACGAGATTTTAAAGTGACAAGAGGTTTCCTTTGCAAGACTGCACGCATTCAGACATTTGCATGAGCTCTTGCAGGACTGGACTTTGCTTTGTGAGCAGCCACAAATACAAGAACTCTCATGTGTACACATCAGGGAAAATATAGCTCTCTCTTTCGTTGTTTTTGCGGTTCTTGATTGATGTGTAAATAATGGCTTGGACTGTCGGGAACTGGAACAGACAGTATCGTGAAAGGGAAGCTTTTGTCCAAGGTTAATCCCAGCTTTTCAGTTACACATGAAAAATCAGCCGGTGAAAGGTGAGCTGATTTTTGTCTGCTTTATCTCTGACTTCTTATTGCCCTACATGAATACCAGTTTTCTTCCCACAACTCTGCTTTTCACAGAATATTTTCTCTTCTACATTATTAGTTTTATTCCACTTAAGACATTATTTCTTTCAGAACAACCTCTCTTGCTTGCTACTCGCTCTTTTAAAATTCAGCTAGAAGCAGGTAGTAGTGGTGCTGCTTATGACAAGACATCCTAATATCCAAAATATCTAACCTGTGTTTCTGTAGCACACACGTGTCTGCTATCACTTTGTGATGCACTCTCATTCCCCAGAGTCTCATTTCCCCTACCCTTCCCTATTATTAAGCATTAGAAATAATAATAATAAATCAGATTAGTCTATTTATGTCACACTAATGTGCTCTTCATCAAAACAACACAAATTTAGCTCCCTGCTGTCGACTTTGATTATATAACAACCCTATTATCCTATCATATTTCATATTATCATCAAAGGGAAAAATCAGTTTGATCGGTGAAGCACCAAAATAGCTTTGACTGAGCATGCTGTGATATGGAAACGAAAGAGGAAACTTAATAGAACAATGCAGGCACAAGTCTCCTCTTGGTCTTCATTACTGCGTAAGGAAAATCCTGACTGATTCAACTGGGGCTGCTTTGCCAGAACTTTGTACATATATATGCTTTACAGGGATGACTGTAATGGGACAGCTCTAGAAGGGGTGTTTGGGTTTGACTTCAAGGGTCCAAAATAGCTTCTTGGTTGTTAATGAATAGAGAAGATGTAGAGTGACCTTCATCAGTAACTTCTGCTTGGAGTCCTCTGTAACAGCTCATTGGACAAAATCAGCAACATTAAAAAAAAAAAAAAGAAAAGAGGGAAGTGACCAAGTTAATCTACTGTATTGTAGGTTGTCTCATTAGTTTCCTAATGCTTCGATCAAAGAAATGCCAGGGCAGTAATCAAGATTATTGCGATTCAAACCTGAACAAGGTAATTTCTTGTTTTCTCTGACAGATTTGAAAGCTTTTGTTATGGGAAAAGGCATCATTTTTTGCTAAAAGCTTAAAAAAAAGCAGTCAGTGGAACCAGGATGGAGAATGAAAATGTTCCAGAATGATTTGGTGTGTGCAGACCAGAGGGCAGGGGCTTGGGTGGAAGTAGCTTTCAGTTGAAGTTTATGTCCTCATTTAGCTTTATGTAATATTCCTGTTAATATTAGGATCTAATTAAGACAGTCATTTAAAATCTTTATGAGGAAGCCAGACCAGAGAGATGTGTTGGAGTGTGTCCATTACACTAATGTTATGGACTTTTTAATGCGTATTTCAACAAGACACTATTATTGACTGGAATATTGCACAAATTACAATGAGAATCACACCACCGCTACTTTCATCAACTAGAGGTGCATAACACTCACAGAACTGAAAAAGAAATATTGCCTTTCTGACCAGCCTGCCTGTCATCTAACTTTAATAACAAACTTTATTTTGGGAACTTCAGCAAGATTAAGCCTATGAAAAGGATTAGCCATCATAACGATACACCAAAATCAAAACAAATGGAATAATGACATTGGACGCGGAGAAATTGATTACAGATG